CCACATTACCCAGATGACAGGGGACGGCGAAATGGCCTCTGAAACAGTGGTTCTCAAAGTGTGGTTCCCAGAACTTCCTGGGAACTTGTTAGAAATGCACATTTTTGGGCCTCACCTGGACCTACTAAATCAGAAACTCTGGGAGGTAGAGCTCAGCAATCTGTATTTTCTAGCCTAAGAAATGAGATTTTGTAATTGGAACCATGGCTCTGCCAACCCTGGCAAGAAAAATCATAAGGGAAAACTACAAGAGAAGTTGGTCCAAAAGAGCCTAAAAATTCTTTCCCAAACTGGTGCTTAGACAGCTGACATTTCTCGTATGATGTCCACTCCATTCACATGGGCACAGGAAACTAAGCATTTCCAAAACAAACATCAAAGTCACAGGAAACTAAACCTGCTTCTACCAACAAGTTTTCTTTTTACCCAGACCTCACTCAAATTCCAGATTTCTGGTGTTGCTTGGGGGTCCAGTCTCACTTTTAATTATGTGGTCACCAGAGTATTTAAAAGAAAAAAAAAAAAGATTCAAGGGCCGGCCGAGTGGCTCAGTTGGTTAAGAGCTCGCTCAAGAGTTTGAGCTCTGAGCAACAGCGATTCGATGCCCGGCCTGAGCTGAGCTGCCAACAGGTGGCAGAATGGCTCAGCTAAAAAATAAATAAATGAAAAGATTCAAATGAAACTCCTCCAAATTTGGGAATCCTTCACCCCAAAATATCCAGTTTTGCCACTAATTCTATGAATGTCTCTGATCACCCATTCATCTCTTAGTGCTTCAGTTTTTTATCAACTGAGAAAGAATATAAAGATGGTTGTAAACAACACGGTACTGCAAAGAATGGTAAAGAATCACAGCTCTATCTTATTTTCTGAAAATAATATAAATGGTCCATTACTAAGGCATTGTTTGTTTTACACTTAAGTTTTCAGGAACATTCTGATTACTCATACATTTTGAAAAATGTAAGTCCAGTATCAACTATTCCCACATTATTCCTCACACCCACGAAGGGCCATAGATCACTGCTGTTTGAAAGGAGAAAATCAAGCTACAGAGGGCAACCTCCAAAAGCTCACTGTGAACCAGTAAACGCTTCTGGCTCGAGCCTCTAGAAATGGAGCCGAGACTCTGAAAAGGATATTCCTCTTCATCTGTCACATCAGCATACTGGGCCAGTAGGGCAGCTTTTCTCTGCTTCTCCTCTTCTGACACCATCTTGGGCTTTACCACAATCTGTGCCTGTTTCTCAATCAAGGTGGCAATGGCTTGTACCTCATCTGGGAGGTGGTGGGAGGGGAGGGAGGGACAACAAGGTTGCATGTGAGAAAAAACAAGCTCACCATACCACTAATCCACCCAGACAGTGCCTGAAGTAAAAGCAATGGCATCTGCTGACTCCTTAGAGCCCTGGGGTTCAAAGGAGGTGCCTCACAAGCCAATGAGAAAGGCAAGGAAAGGCCATGCAGGCCAGGCTTTAGGTCTTGTATCGTCTTCAATCAGAGGGGCCCTGCTTTTACTTGTTTTATATATTGAAGTTCTGCTCTTAAAAAAATAAAGTTGAAAAGCACTGCATTAGAACTGTAGGAAATTAAGCCTGCAAACATGCAACTTTCTCCTCTCTCAACCCAGAAACCTAAAAAGGAATCTAGAATCAACTTAAGCTGGTCCCTTTCATGTTGCTAATTATATCAGGTGAAACCTTAGATTATTTTAAAATAAAATCAACTATTAAGTTCTCTATTCTCCCAGAAAAGAGGCAATGGTGTCAAGTAGTGGCTCTCATGCCTGGCTGTACATTAGAACCATCTTGGGGAGTTTTTAAGATAATACCAATACTTTGGCCCCAACTCCAAAGATGTATATATATATTGGCTCATCATGTGACTCAGGCATTGGCATTTTTATTTTTAAGATTTTATTGGGGAATTGGGGGAGGGGAACAGACAAGTTGCTGTCCTTTTGTTCTTCAGTCTAGTTGTGGAGGACGTTGCTTCACTGGCCCATGTTGGTGTTGTGATCACTGCGCTCTTACCGGGTGAGACAGTCACTCGCCAGCCATTGGACAGCTGCTCACGGAGGCTCACAGCAGCTCATGCCGGCTGCAGCCTACACTGTTGCGGGTGACTCACAGCTGCCCAGCTCCAGGTTAAGCTGGTGTTCACCATCTTAGCTGTAGAGAGTGCAGCATCACTGGCCCTCATGCGGGATCCGAACCAGGGCCCTGCTGCTCAGAGCTGGCGTCCCAAGCCAACTCCTAACTAACGCGCCACTCGGCCGGCCCAGTACTGGCATTTTTAAAAGTACATCAAGTGACTCTAATGTAAAACCAAGACTGAGAACTATCAGTGTAGATAGTTTAGAACAGATTTTATTAAAGTTTGGTTTTAATGATTTGAGTTGTCTGCATCCTAATGGTTAGTATATTTACTCACTTCTCTTTCATTTTAAAGGGTGAAGGCTTTAGCTGAATAAAGCAAAAGACTGGGGCCAGCCGAGTGGCTCAGTTGGTTAAGAGCTCGCTCAAGAGTTTGAGCTCTGAGTAACAGCGGTTCGAGTCCTGGCCCGAGCTGAGCAGCCACTGAGCTGCCAACAGGTGGCAGGATGGCTCAGTTAAAAAAAAAAAAAAAGGCAAAAGACCAATCATACTTTGTGTTGTGAAATGAGAATATGAAAAAGGTGGGAGGTGGGAAAATATAGCTGACGCCCCTATACCTGCAATGCAACTCTACAAGGGGCAATGGGAAAAGGATGAAAAAGAAAAAAGCAAAACCACAGTGAAAATAACTGTGGTCAGCTGAAGTGGAAAAGTAGAAAAGGAAACCAATATTCAGTTTAAAAGTTAGAGTAAGCTGCTGGGTATTTGCCAGTTTAAGTTATCTTAGGGAAAATGAGTATCCGACTGAGAAAACTAAAAACTCTCTCCCTGACAGCTGTAAAGTAAAGGTTGTTGCAAAAGGCACTGGAGGTTAGACATCAAAACTCTAACTCTACCTTCTTTTTTCACTTTGGTAACAACATTCTGGGATTCTGCCCATCGTTCCACAATCTCCTTGCAGATGTTAAGGAGGGAATCTTCTTCCTAGTTGGAAAAGCAGACCAATTAATTTCCTGAGAGAGCCCTCAATCTGAACCAAGCCTATGCAGAGGTCACAGGTCCCCCTGCTGGTGAGGAGAAAAATCACAGGAGGGTTTGGGAGCCACAGAATAGAGTATGTTTCTCTTCTGAGGCTCTGGACGCAGAAGTAATCTTGTGAGCGAGTCCCAGAATCCACACCTACTAGGTCAAGAGCACCCATTCCATCCTGGCAAGCTTCAGGGAAAAGGATCCCCACCAACTCAGGGCAGTCTTCCTCATTCTTTTGAAGCCAAAACCTGTTACCTGAGTCAAACAAAACCCTCCTCTGTGAGAAACCTTCCTCAGCCAATATACTCAACTCAGTACATTCTCCAAGGTTTATCACTTTCATGCTAAGAGACTATAAATAGTCTAAGGCAAAATTCATGCCTGCCTTTATCAGCAGACATACAACTCCAAATAATGACACTATGAAAAAAATAGATCTAGGAGTTGGTACCGATGGGTACCCAAGTTACTTCAACTTTCTTTTTCATTGAGAATTTAGTAACTTCCCAGCTGGAAATAAAAACAAATGTAAATTGCTTGCCTCCTACTTTTTTTCCCTATAACCTGCAATGTCAGGGCCCAAGAACATAATATATTCCACTGGGTTGTATTTGTTCTGAAGTTATGAGCTGCATCACAAGCTGTGTTAAAGCTGTCCCAATATAGGTCAATCTCACCAGAGAAGGCTCTGGGACTAAAAGGAGGCCCTTGCCAGGAGGTCCTGGGACACCTGCACTAGTGTTATATTTCAACCATGTGCCCAATCAATCAACTCCAGAAAGTGTTAGTGGAAATGAAGGCAGCAGAAATGATCAGGAAAAATGGACAATTTGGTGACACAGCTTGAAGTACATATTTCTGAATTCCTGAATCTGCCTCTAAGAGGCTAAGTGTCAAGATTATGTCTAGTCTTTAAAACTCTGATCTCTCTTATTCCTACATCTACTCCCCCTAATCCCAACACACACAACAATGATCACTGCATTTCTAAATACTATAAAGGATAAAGCACAATATTTGCTTCAGCTCGGCCTAGGCATGAAAAGACCTCTACCACACGCATACCTTTTTTGGACTCCTACCTCCAAAATAGGAACCGAGAGGGTATTTCCTGCAGGCTTTTGACATGGGACAGCCCTGGACACTGCCTCTTAAAAGGCACATACATCCCAGAGCGCTTTATTCCCCCTCTATGAACACTGTCAACGGATAGGAATGAAATTGGTCGTAAGACGTTTATGATAAAACTCTCATTTAGACATTTCAACGCCTTTGGAAGAATACTCACCCACAGGCATCTGAGAGGGCCGTGTCCCCAGAAATAAGGGAAAACCATTCCTCTCTATGCACCTGCAACCTTCCGGCTTCCCAAAACCCTGGATGGGGAACAACTTTCTTCCCCCGCGGCCCAGAGCTCAGAAGAGTACTTCTCTCCCAGGTGAGACCACTAATCTTCTGGGGCACTGAGTAGGGGAAAGGGGTTACAAAGTACTGACGGGCTGGCAAGAAGCTAAAGAAATGAGTTTGGGCTTCTTACCAGGAAAGCAGAGAGGATACTCTGCAGAGCGTCCAGCTTCTCTTCTTCTTCCTCCTCCTGCAGAATACCCAGGATGTAGGAGCCGTAAACGGCTCGGTCCACTCCCAGTGCCTCCAACCGTCCGTCCAGCCACGATCCAAAGCCGCTGCCCCCGCCATCGCCTTCGCCCGAAGAAGCCGCATCCACTTCACTGGGCGCCGCCATCTTGGGGTCAGGGTCCTGCCAGCCCCTAGGGCGCCTACCGCAGTGCCTGACGGGCCGCGCCGTTTGCCCACTGCGCATGCTCAGAGAGAGAACCCACCCCTAGACACAGCTGTCTTGAGCCCGGTAAACCCCGTAGTGAATCCCCTTGGCGTGGTGTACCTTGTAAATGGAGCCGTCTTGGCATGCGCGCGGTCACGTGGTCTTTCGGGAACTCTGACAGGTGACTATTAACAGACTTCTTTACAGTTGGGGAAGTTCAGACAGGTTTAGTAAAGTTGGCCAAAGTCTCGCGGCTAATAACTAAACAGCACTGGAACTCAACTTCGAATCCAGCGCTTCGGCCCACCATATCGAGCTGCCCTTACGCACAGCCTGGTGGGATACTAAGCCACCCACTCGCACACAGCTTTCTAGAAGGAACCCGCTGGCTCTGTCCGGAGTACTCGCTGTCGCTATTGCCTTTCCAAACTCCTCCCCTATCAAAACTCAAACTTAAGAAAACCTTCCTTGATTCTCTACCACTAGGGTGTGTTGCAGTTGCTTCTCTTAGCATGATGTACTTAACGCAGTACCGGATACATAATAGGTGCTCAATAAATGCACAACCTCTAGTCATTTCTTTCACTCATTCATTCACCACTTACACAGGAATATCTTTGAGGAGCCTCCTTTATCCTTTGTCAGACCCTGTGCTAGGAACTTTTGATGCATTGTCTCTTGTAACCCTTCCAACAACCCTGTGCGGAGATGCTTTTTTTTTTTTTTAAAGATTTTTTTATTGGGGAATTGGAGGAAGGGGAACAGACAAGTTGCTGTCCTTTTGTTCTTCAGTCTACTTGTGGAGGACGTTGCTTCACTGGCCCAAGTTAGCACCATCATTGCACTCTTCCCTGGTGAGGCAGATCAGTCGCCAGCTTCTGGACAGCCGCTCACTGTGGCTGCTGGCCGCTCACACTGGCTGCTGGCTACACACGGTAGCGCATGGCAACCCACTGCAGCAGGGGCTGCAGCTTACACCAGCGCCGGCGACTCATGGCAGCCCAACTCCAGGTTGAGCTGTTGTTCAGCATCTCAGCTGTAGAGGGCAGTGTCACTGGCCCTCATATGTGGGATCCAAACGGGGCCCTCTGACGTCCCAAGCCAGCTCTTAACCAATGCGCCACTTGGCCGGCCAGGAGATGCTTTTATTGTCCGTTTATGGAAGGTAAGGAAACAGACACAGAAAGAGTCACACAACAACAGAGAGCCTAATCAGGCAAGAGCTGGTACTCGCAGCTTGTGCCTCACATGACTTTCCAAAGCACTGGCTCTGGGCTGAAATGAATTACCCAAGAACCTGGGTTCTTTCCCTGAATTGCAAGGAGACTGGCAAGTCACTGGCCTGACTCCTTCATTCACTAGATATTTGTTGAGTACCTACAGCATGGCATTACTCTTAGACACTGAAGATACAAAAATGTATGTCACAAAATCTCTGCCCTCAAAGGGTCTTCAGTCCAGTGGGAACAGACATATTTAAAAGTAATGACATATATGAAATAAATGTGATAATAGAGGTTGCAGTAGGATGCCTAGAAGATTAAGTTAATGTTGCCTGTTAGAGTGAGTTTGGAAGCTGTGGAGATGGGGGATTTGGAAAGTCTTCCTAGGCATGATAATCCTTACACTTTCTTGAAGAATAAATAAGAGTTCTTAAGACAAAAAAATGGGAAGAGAAAGGGAGCAGATCCAGATGGGAACCATGTGCAAAGGTTTGGTAGGGGCCCTTTAGAGAATCGTGTGTAGCTTGGGCAACAGAGTTCAGATAGAAGATATTCGGGACATGACCACAAAAAAAAGGGAAGGGCTTGTATACCTTGCAAAGGGCCTTTTGAGAGAGTTCTTTACCCTTATTATCGTTGAGATAATAATGTAAATGAATGGACATGGAATACTATAAAACTCAGTAGAAATAAGGATACTGTGAATATTAGCCGCATGACTTCTGTGTTTCACTGAATTAGAATGTGACCGTACTGGAGTCAGAAGCCAGCGTCAGCCCCCAAAGACTTGCCCCTGTTTCAAGTCCTCAGATGTATCTACTAACCCAGTGGCTGTCTTGCAGGTGGGGGCTTGTCAGTTGAGAGAAGTGGGAGCCATCATAATTCAAGAATCATAGTTTAAGGTCAGTGCAGTGCCCCCACAACCAGAAAAGTTGCACTAAATTATGTTAAGGTTTTTTTTTGTCTTAAAAAAAAATTACAGACTCACTGGAAGTTGCAAAAGTAGTGCATAGAGACCTATGCACCTTCACCCAGTTCCCCCCAATGGTAACATCTTCCATAACTATAGTACAATATCAAAATCAGGAAATAGACATTAGTACAATCCACAAAAGTTTTTTGAAGGCATCACAAGCTTCTCACAAAACTGAGTGAAGGGTCGGCCGAGTGGCGCGATGGTTGGCAGCTGGCTTGGGACGCCAGAGGGCCCCGGTTTGGATCCCACATATTAGGGCCAGTGACACTGCCCTCCACAGCTGGGATGCTAAACAACAGCTCGACCTGGAGTTGGGCTGCGAGGAGTCGCTGGCGGGCGGCTTAGGCTGCAGCCCCTGTGGCAGTGGGTTGCCATGGGCTACCATATGTAGCCAGCAGCCAGCGTGAGCAGCCAGCAGCCGCAGTGAGCGGCCGTCCAGAAGCCGGCGACTGATCTGCCTCGCCCGGGAAGAGTGCAATGATGGTGCCAACTTGGGCCAGTGAAGCAACATCCTCCACAACTAGACTGAAGAACAAAAGTACAGCAACTTGTCTGTTCCCCTTTCCCCAATTCCCCAGCGCTGTTCCCATCCCCCCAATTCCCCAATAAAAATCTTAAAAAAAATAAAAAAAGACACAGAGAAGGTTGGTCTGAGGAGCAAACAAGGGAAAGCCACCCGGAGTTTTTAAAAACAAAGGTAATTTGATCTGATTATATTTGCATCAATCAGGATTGGCTAGGTTAGCAATTCTGAAAGTTTTGGTTTCAGGCCCCTTTTCATTTTTAGAAATTGAGGATCCCAAACATTTTTTTGTTTATGTATGTACTAGTTATCTATTGCTGTGTACAAATCACCCCCAAATTTAATGCCTTAACACAACACTAATCATTTATTTTTCTCTGGATTCCTGTGGACCTGGAATTTGGGAGCAGCTTGGCTGGGCTTTTCTGACTTGGGATCTCATGAGATTGCAGTCATCTGCAAGCTTAACTAGGGCTGAAGGATTTGTTTGCAAGATGCCTCAGTTACATGAGCGCTGGCTGTTAGCAGGAAGCCTCGGTTTGTCTCCAAATGAGCTTCTTCACAGTGTCCTCATGTCATGAGTGCTGCTTTCCTCCACAGCTGGCCATCCAAGAAACTGCAATACAAATGTTAAATTGTCTTTTATGACCTAGCATCAGAAGTCATACACTGCCATTTCCTCATTATTCTATTGGTCCACAGCCTATTTGATGTGGACATGACTATCCAGAATCGAGGATCATTTCAGGCCCTCTTGGACACTGGGTACCACAATGTGGGTATTCTTAAATTTATATTATACAAATATATGGTAATGAAAGAAAAACTGACTCTGGGTGGTGAACACACAATGTGATATATACATGATGTATTACAGAATTGTTCACCTGAAACCTATGTAACTTGACTAACAATTGTCACCCCAACAAACTTTAATTTAAAAAAAATCACTAAAACTTGAGAGCGAGAGCGCGCAAGAGAGAGGGAGAGGGAGAGGGAGGGAGAGAGCGCGAGCGCGAGCGAGCAGGGGGAGAGGGAGAGGGAGAGACAAGAAACGAAGGAGCAAGGAAGGATTCGCTGGATTAAGTTTGTCCTCCCAGGGCTACCGTAGGGCAGTCACGCAGCTATTCTATTGTTTTAGGGGCGGAGCCGTCAGGAAATTTAAACCGTAGCCGCGACGAGGGCGCCTGGAGAATGATGTTATAGTTGCAGAGCAACAGCCAGAGCTCTGGAGTCGGAAAAAGTTCTTGGAGTCCGCGAATGTAATACAGCGGCCTTGAAAAAGGAGTAGGGAGGCTGAGAAAGAACCGAGAATTTGGGAGAGCCGGGAAAGGAAGGGTACGGATGCCGGGAAGGGGAAGAAAGAGTAAGAAAGAAAGAGGAAAGGGATAAGAGTTGTAGAGAGTATAACGGGGTCGGGAAGTAGGCACAGGAATTGGAGAGTGGATAGGTGCAGAACCTGGGGAGGTTAGAGGGGCCAGGAGGGGACACAGTTGAGATCTAAAGGGTGCGGAGGGACTGAGGGGACAGGAGCCTGGAGGGAGGCACAGGCATTGAAATGTACAAGGGGTGGCCAAGAGGCCCTGGGAGTTGAGGCAGCGGAGTCTGAAAGGAGGAGGAGGGACTGAGGGACAATTGATTAGAAGGTAGCGCGGGAGTTGAGATGGGTTGTGGGTAGGGATGGAGTTGACTCTTGCTGTTGCCGGTAGCTGCGTTGGGGATTGTGCGGGATCTGGGGAGCGGGAGAGGGGGTTGTGGAAGGTCGAAGGCTAGTGAAGGTGATTCAGCTGCTGTTTTTTCCTCTTTCAGGCGACGATTGCCTTGAGCTGAAGAGTTCAATGGCTGAGAGTAGGCTCCGGGCTCCGGACCTAGGTAGGTAACTTGTCAAAACTAGTGATGCGAGGTCAAAGTTGCTACTCCTGCCCCAGAGCCTCTTGGGAGGAAAAGGCCAAGAAATGTTAGTCCTGTTGGGGTATTCTAATTATTAGTGTTTTTGTGTGTGAGTGTTGTGTCGATGGATGTCATGGATCATTTAGGAATTCACCGTAACTGTCAAGCAAGAGCTTTCAGTCTGATATTATGAACAAGATTAGCAGACAGATGGGCAGTCAGGGTAGAGCTTATTAAACTCCTATTCATGGTTATTTTTACCATAAAATTCTCAACCTTATTGATAAACTTAAACACCCCTGCCCAATTATTAAGTATTTTAGCACATAGTAACTTCCCTGGATACCACCGCACCCATTATCATCTAGTTTTAGTTCTGGATTATTACAGATATGCCATTTGGTCGTTGCCTTTTAAACAACAATACACTTTACTAAATTATTTACTCTTCCTTCTCATGCCTTGTTGCTTTCTTCTGGATCTTTCTCTCTCTTTGCTGGAGAACTTTCTCCAAGAGTGTTTTCAAAAGGGGACTTTCTGAGGCTTGTATGCCTGAGAATATCTTTATTTCACCTTGCATTTAAATTTTTGTTTGTTTGTTTTAGCTGAGCCATCCTGCCATCTGTTGGCAGCTCAGCAGCAGCTCAGCTTGGACTGTGACTCGAACCGGCAACCCTATAGCTCGCTCAAGAGTGCAAGCTCCTAACCAACTGAGCCACTCGGCTGGTCTCGAAATTTTTGAGTCAAAGTGTTTTTCCTTCAACACATTGAAAAATTACAGTAATTTTTTCTTACCAAAAGTAGATGCTGTTGAGAATTGATGTCAATCTGATTCTTGTTTCTTTGTACCTGCTTTTCGCTTTAGAAAGTTTAGACTATTCTCTTTACATTTGTTCTTAAAATTCACTATGACTATGTGTGAATTTTAGAGGGTTTTAATTTTTATTGCAGTTTTATGGTTACATAATTCAAAAGGCCAAGGTCTGTCAAACACACACACACAAAAGCAGGAAAGGAAGTTGCTCCTCCTTTCATCCCTCCTGATTCCCACTCCCTAGGGTATAATCATTTACCCCCTTTTAAGCTATTTCTCCTAGTATTTACTTTCTTGTTGTTTTTTTTTTAACTTTATTGGGGAACAGTGTGTTTTTTCCAGGACCCATCAGCTCCAAGTCAAGTCATTGTTCTCAATCTAGTTGTGGAGGGCGCAGTTCAGCTCCGAGTCCAGTAGTCGTTGCGGGGTACACAGCCTACTATCCCATGCAGGAGTCGAACCCGGCAGCCGGGTTCGACTCCTGCATGGGATGGTGGCTATGCCCACCTGCAACTAGGACTGAACTCGGCACCTTGAGTTGTGCTGCCGCCCGGATGGCTCAGTAGAGAGAGCATGCACTCCTAACAACAAGCCTGCTGGTTCGACTTTCGCATGGGATGGTGGCTATGCCCACTTGCAACTAAGATTAAACACAGCACCTTGAGCTTAGAGGCCACGAGCTACCGAGGAGAATCCAGATGGCGACTGGCGCCCTCCACAACGAAGACTGAAGAACAACAACTTGGCCGGTCCCCTTCCCCAATTCCCCAACACTGTTCCCCTCCCCCAATTCCCCAATAAAATATTAAAAAAAAAAAAAAAAGTACGCGCTCTACCAACTGAGCCATCCAGCTGCTGAGGGGCAGCTCAGCGGCAGCTCAGCTAAGTCGTTGTCTTCAATCTAGTTGCGGAGGGTGCAGCTCACTGGCCCATGTGGGAATCGCACCGTCAACCTTGTTCAGAGCATGCGCTCTAACCAACAGTCACCCGGCCGCCCTTACCGTCTTATTTTTTAATTTTTTTAAAATATTTTTTTTATTGGGGAACAGTGTGTTTTTCCAGGACCCGTCAGTTCCAAGTCAAGTAGTTGTTTCAATCTAGTTGTGGAGGGCGCATCTCAGTGGCCCATGTGGGGATCGAACCTGCAACCTTGGTGTTATGAGCGCTGCGTTCCAATCAACTGAGCCAACCGGCTTCCCTTACCTTCTTATTTTTAAATAGTATGCTCACTGCTTTTGTTGTTTTCAATTTTAAATTATGTCTGTTGACTTTCTAAATGGAAGGTAAAGCGCTTTTTCTGCCCCCTCCCTCCCCACACACTCCTCTGTATCACATTCATGTTTACCTCATTTCCTCTCATCCTCCTGGTGTATAGTGTACTAATTTTTTAATGTAATTTTGTGTTTACATTATAATGATTGCGTAAAAAGCCGAGCCATATAATAAACTATGAAATATACTCTGTTTTCTGTGTATGGATCACTAATTCACGTCCAAATTCGTTACCAGAAGTCTAAACCTTTTCTCAGTACATTCAGGTTCATCAGAGAATCTATCAATTTCTTCTTTGTTTGGGAGACATATCTTCTGAGACCATTTGTCTTAATACTCCAGTCTGGTCCAGCTGTGCACTAGACCTGTCCCATTCATTTCACCCTCGGAGCTCTGTCATTCTATGGAATTTCCTTTGCTTCTTTCCTATGTAGATTCTCTATATTCTAAATTCCATATTTTCCTCTCTGTTTACTTCCTGCTTTGGATAGAGTACATCTTCCACTATAACTTCCTGAGAAAGGGTACATTTCAAGGAAATTTTTTGAGACCTTGCAAGTCTGACAGTTCTATGCTACTTTGCATTGAATAATAATTCACCTAGGCAAAGAGTTCTAGGTGAGAAATAGTTTACCCTCAGAGTTTTGAAGACCCATTCCATCTTCTCTTAGCTTCCAGTGTGCTATAGCAAAGTCTGATGTAAATATTTCTAGCCTCCTGAATACTCCAAGGGCCTAGACTGCTCTATCTCTGAACCACCCGTACCCCCATCTAGCATTATTATTCTCTAGCAACAATATTATTATTATTGCCTATCTTTTTAACTTCCAAATTACTCATCATTATTACTATTTTATACGGTCAATGGTTGTTTAGATTTATACATATTTTTACCAGGTTTTTTTTGGCATTTCAGTCCTTCTAGGTTCAGTTTCCTTCTTTCCAAACTACACCTTTTGAAGTCCTTTAGTAATAATTAGTTGGTGATAAACTGTCTGGAGTTTTGTTTGTTTGAAAAATGTATTTTATCCTCATTCTTAAATAGTTGCATAGTCAGATATAAAATTCTAAGTTGACATTTATTTTCTTACGGCATTTTTAATACTTATTTTACTAAAATTAAAGTATCTACTACTTTAAATATTTACTTTATTATCTATAGCTGATCATTCTATTTGGAGGTCTCAGGGATCTAATTTGGCTGTCTCCTGTCTTTGCTGATTCTTAGCCATGTATTGTTTCCTTCCTGTGTTTTATAGTGTTGGAGTGCGAGCTAATGTTTGATGATGCTTTTATCTGAGGAAATTCTGGGAACTCTGGACTGAGCTGTCTACCTCTAGAGTTGTTTTGCTTTGGATTCTTAGAAGTATGCATGCCCAAAGTATTACTATTATAGTTGGGATTACTTTCCACATTCATTTCTGTTTGGTGGTGGTGATAGTAGGTTCTTAGGCCAACCACATAAGTGGTATGAATTTGAATTCCAAACTCTTGGGAGGCCTGTGGTTTTGAGTTCTCAGGGAGACTTTCCTTTCATGCAGAGCCCAGGCTAAGATAGATAATATTCCTTTTTGTCTCTTCTGGTAGATGGATTATTTTCTGTTTTACCTTTTCTCCTAGATTCATGCAGGAGTTCACAATTCTTTTCTTTACCTGCTATTCCTGTTTTTATGTTTCCAGTATCCCCCCTTGCTGTTTTGAGGATATTTATTATACTGTAAAATTCTTATTTCTGTCTGGTCCATCACTTACAACAGCTAGATAACCTATAACAGGGAAAGCATCTTTTATAGTACTTGCTTACTTCAGTTGCCTCATATTTTCTTATACGCTAATGTTCCCTTGAGACTGTTAGCCACTCTGATTGGTAATGTGTTCCTGGAAGGAAGATGCAAAATCTTAGACCCGGTCTCATGACCCTCCAGTGAGTTTAGGGACACGGGGGGTTGGATAGAGGAGGAAAACCAGCCGAAGGCAGGAACACTAGCCTCACATTCATGTTTGTGTGCCCAGGGCCTAGCGGGGCACATCACACAGAGGCTGTTGGTGGGGGGTGCTTGACTTGTAGGACACTGTCTTACCTTAAGTTTCTCACTTTGTTCCTCTTTGTTGTTGTTTTCTAGGGGCTCAGCTAAGAGTTTCCAGTTGTCTGGGAAAATGCGAGAAGAGCTCACCAGATGCTGGGAGGCGGCAGCCCTTTTCTGGAAAGTCCTTTTACTTGGATTTGCCTGCTGGCAAGAATCTCCAGTTTTTGATGGGGGCTATCCAGCAGCTGGGCGGGGTATGTAACCTGCTTCTCTCCTGTAATACCATGTGCCTTGGCAGCTTGTGGGGCAGGAGCTGGAGAGGGATTCTACCTGTGTCTCCCAGGTATTTTCAGTGGTATCATTACATTTTCCAAAGCCATTTTAAGTATAAACCACTTTTTTAAATAAAGTTAATTTTTTTGCTAATTAAAAAAAATAATATCTGTTCATTCTAGAAAGTTTGGAAAATATGGATCTGCTCCAAGTGCCAGCCATCATTTTGATGTATTTATTTTCTTCTGGTCTCTTTCCTCTCCTCTCCTCCCCTCCCCTCCTCTCCTCTTTTCTCTTTCTTTCTTTCTTTTTTTCTTTCTTTGTTTTTTCTTTCTTTCACTGCTTTACTGAGATAAAATTCACATGCCATACAATTCACCCATTTACACTGTATAATTCACTGGTTTGTTTTGTTTTTTTTTTAAGATTTTTATTGGGGAATTGGGGGAAGGGGAACAGACAAGTTGCTGTCTTTTTGTTCTTCAGTCTAGTTGTGGAGTACGTTGCTTCACTGGCCCAAGTTGGCACCATCATTGCGCTCTTCCCGGGTGAGGCAGATCAGTCACTGGCTTCTGGATGGCCGCTCACGGTGGCTTGAGGGCCACTCACGCTGGCTGCTGGCTACACACGGTAGCCCATGGCAACCCACTGCAGCAGGGGCTGCAGCCTACACCGTCGCCGGCGACTCATGGCAGCCCAGCTCCAGGTTGAGCTGTTGTTCAGCATCTTAGCTGTGGAGAGCAGTGTCACTGGCCCTCATATGTGGGATCCGAACCAGGGCCCTCTGGCGTCCCAAGCCAGTTCTTAACCAACGCGCCACTCGGCCGGCCCTAATTCACTGGTTTTTAATCTATTCACAGAGATGTGCAAATGCAATTACATGGTCAGTTTTTTTATCAACATTTTTATCAGCCCAAAAAAGAAACCCATACCCATTGTCAGTCACTCCCCATTTCCTCTCAACACCCCAACCCTGGGTAACCACTTATCTACTTCTGTCTTTTTTTTTTATGCTTATTTTTTGTGTAGCTATGATCATGAATACATTTTTGATTACCAACTTTTTGACCATAACCTTACAGCATTAGCACTTTCCTATCATTATTGCCCCTCATATGCATCATTTGTAATGAGAATATAATATTCTTTTGAGTAGATTATTAATTTACTTACCTTACTCTATGGACATTTAGATTATTTATAAATTTTAGCTCTTGTAAATAGCACTGGTGAACAACTTTGGGTAAAAAGCATTTTGCTGTATTTGAGTCCTTTAAAATATTTTTAAATTAGAGGTATGTCATGTGATTCTTTTAGTAAGGGGTTGACATGGGTGTCCCTTGTGTTTGGGAAATAGGATGATAGTGCTTGGCCCAAAGGGGGCAGGTAACTGGGGAAACTGCCTGAATGGACTTGGGCTATTCAAGATGCAGAGGCTCTTTGCTCTCAAACTAACAGAAACTCAGGGATGTAGAGACTCAGCAGTGGACTAAATGACCGTTATACACACAAACTGGTCCCAAATTACATTTTGAACTTTTAGTCTATTCTGTCAGTTAGCCTTTGCTGTCTATAAAAAGCCACCCTGGAATTTGGGCTTAAAACAAATCATGATTTCTTACTATTCTGTGGATTGGCTGGGTGGTTTCTCTGTGGGCTTCATCAGGGCCTCACTCTTGCAGCTGCACTTGACTCGAGCATCATCTGGGCTGGAAGGACCTCACTTACATATCTCACAGTTGGCGCTGGCTGCCTCTGTGGCTTCTCATACATTGTATGAGAAGCTTCTTACATGCACTGTATGAATGTATATTATTGTGTATATACAGTAAGCTAGACTAGCCGAAGTACACAGTGGTCTCAGGGCAGCCTTCCCTCCAGGGAGGTGAGGGGAGAAGCTACAAGGCTTTTTGAGGCATAGGCTTTAGAACTCACACCTATTACTTTGACCACATTCTGTTGGTCAAAAGAAATCCTATTCAAGGGGCTGGAAAATAGGCTTCACCTCCTGATGGGAGGAACAGCAAAGTCACATGTGCGGCCATTAAACCATCTGCCACATTTATATAGGCTAACCATTGACCCACTCCCACAATCTAGCATTTATTTTGCCATATTACAGAATGTAGACAAACATACTTATTCAAGCTATAGCTTTAAAGATTTTTTTAATTGTGGTAAAATGTATATAACATAAAATATGCCATTTTAACCATTTTTATGTATACAGCTCAGTGGCATTAATTACATTTGCACTGTTGTTTAACCCAAACCACTTTTTTGTTTCCAAAACTTTTATCACCGCAAACAGAAACTCTATAACCATTAAGCACTAACTTCCAATTTCCCCTCCCCTGGTCCCTTTCTGTCTGTATGAATTTGCCTGTTCTAGAAACCTCATATCAGTGGAATCACTGATATTTGTCCTTTTGTTTGTGGCATATTGGCATATTTCACTTAACATAATGTTTTCAAGGTTCATTCACGTTGTAGCATGTATCAGAACTTCATTTCTTTTTATGGCTGAATAATATTCCATTGTGTGGATATACCCCATTTGATTTATCCATTCATCTGTTGATGGACACTTGGGTGGTTTCCACTTTTTGGCTATTGTAAACAATGCTACACTGGTGTACAAGCATCTGTTCAAGTCCCTGTTTTCAATTCTTTTGAGTATGCATACTTAGGAGTAGAATTACTACATTATTTGATAATTCATGTTTAGCTTTTTGAGGAACCTAAACATTTTTTTTTTTAAAGCTAAATGCCAGGTTTCTCATCCAGTCACATGGCTCACAAGAACCAAGTATTAGCATCTCTTTCCAAGTCCATGTTCAGTGACGTCATGTTAGTAGTTTCAAATCAGCCATAGTGGGAGTATTTACCCCACAGAAATTGGCAAGTGCTACAAAGCAGGGTTTTTTTCCCCCCTGGAGAGTTGATCATTACACATTTGCCAACTCACCATTGCTTATTTCCATCTTTTCTTCTTCTCACAAACATGAGTTAAGTATCATTGTGCTTCAGGCACTGTGTTGGGCTCTTGAAATGCAAAGATGAGTCAGACCCTCTCAATGCCCATGAGGAGCTTACTGGTAAGGTGGGCAATACCTATGAGGTCATACAATTAAGTTCGTGAACTCATCCTAGAAAAAGTACTACGTACCTCATTGCCGGATATCACATGGTCACCTTTGAAGTACTTCCCTTGGGAAGCTATGCACCAATGCCAGCGCCTAGTCCACCCTTCAAAGCAATTTTGGAACTCTTTTTCTAGAATGGCTATCAGAGCTGTTGTTGTATTACCCTTGATGTCCTGAATGTCATCAAAATGTCTTCCTTTCAATATTTCTTTTATCTTCAGGTAAAGAAAGAAGTTACTGGGGGTCAGATCAGGTGAGTAGGGAGGGTGTTCCAATACAGTTACTTGTTATTGGCTAAAAACTCCCTCACAGACAGTGCCATGTAAGTTGGTGCATTATTATGATGCAAGAGCCATGAATTGTTGGTGAAAAGTTTAGGCCGTCTAACTTTTTCACGCAGCCTTTTCAGCACTTCCAAATAGTAAACTTGGTTAACTGTTTATCTAGTTGGTACAAATTCATAATGAATAATCCCTCTGATATCAAAAAAGGTTAGCAACATCATTGCAACAAGTTCGTGAACTTACTTGTCAGACCTCATATGTAGCTGAGTAGTAGCCAAAACCCTTTCTGGTTTCATATTTTAGGCTTCTTTTGGTAGTGTAGTCAAGTTTATAGGTATGGTGTCTAGATGTCCCAGTGTATCTTCGTGGAAAAATCATGGCTTACCCAAGCTATCCTTTAATTCTGTCCAGTCCCTTCAGTGTGCTGTTGCTCTGTGCAAACTCAAGCTGGTCAGATAACTGAAAGCCTATGGCCTCCTGCTGCTGGGTCAGGAGCCACAGTTCTGGAGACAAAAACCTGTGTTATATATAAGCCCTATTATATCTCAGGATGCTGTGTTCTTGGGGACCCAGCACAAAACTGCATTTGGTCTATTTAAAGACATTGATTCCAGATAGAACTTCTGGCAGCTGAGATTTCCTTCCCCAACCTCTCAGTATTGATGATTCCGCATCTGCCTTTTGGTTTTCAGCCACCTCTGTGATCTGGTTTCAGGTAATTGAGGGTTTTCTGAGCAAAGAAGTAAGTTACATCGTGTCTAGCCGCAGGGAGGCCAAGACAGAGAGCAGTGGGACAAGCCACAGAGGCTCCTCCAGCCCCAGCGACGTCAGAGTGGAAATACCATCCATGGACGATCCAAAAGGCAGCCACGCCAGGCCTTCACAGAAACCCGTAGATGCGGTAAGAACCTCATGGAGCAGGAAAGGTGTGTTCTAAATATAAACAAAGGAAGTAAGCCTCGGTGAGCCCTTTGAGGCAGTCTCTGGTTTTAGTTTCATCCCGTTTAATTTCTCATTTGAATTCAGGGGTTGAAAACATTTCATCACAACTCTGGATCTAAATACCTCACCACATGCCCTCCCCGTGGTATTTCTTTTACAATGTAGTGTCATCCTCTGTGACTGCAGAGTCAAAGGTTCAAAAACAATAGGAAGGTCCTCTGTGAACCAGAGAGGGCTTGTTGGCATTGGCCAAGGTTTATGCGCTAGAGAGTGCAGAGACTCTTAAAGAGAGATCTTAGAACATTTGTAGCACTTTGACCTTGGGTGAATTCAGAATGCCCTTCTCCACAAGGGTCCAGGTGGCGGCTAGCTGTGGGTGACCTGAACTTGGTGTGGCTTTACCTTTACCTCTGAAAGGTTCTCTAGGCTCTCATTTCTGCCACTCCTCAGCTGTCACTGCCCCCAGCCTTCCAAGACAAGACTCCAAGCCCTCCTCGCCAGCTCCTGTATAAATAGCTGTCTGTGCACAGGTGGTCTACACAGCATGGCTCATTGCTCTTTTCTTCCTGTCAGGTGCCTATGAGCAGAGGGAAAGAGCTTCTACAGAAGGCCATCAGAAACCAGGTGAGCTGAGGGAGACAGCTGGAGGTGGATGCCTTTGACACAGAGGGTTAAGTAGCAGGAGGAGGAGTTAAGGTGATCTTGTGAGAGGAGTCATTAAAGTGACATCAAGATGGGTGCATTGGCTGTGATGCGGGAGGATGATGTCAGATTTGGGCAGCAGGGTGCAAAAAGTCTGCAGCCAGCATAGCTTCCTGCTTCACGATGGTGCTTGGTACTTATTGCTGCGTGCTGAGAGCTTTCCTCACGGAGGCCCTCCCAACAGTAGCTCTCTTATAAGCATGTATTTCTTCCTAGTCACAAATGGCGGAGCAGAACATATAGACAGACCAGCAGTCCATCCCCTCCTGATGTGGCCTGTGTGGAGGATAGGGGTCTCCCCGGGGGTTGGGATAGACTTCCACCACATCCCTCCATGTGCATGACCCAGAGCTCCCAGACAGGACAACCTGTCTCCATAGTGTTCAGGTCTTGTGACATGTCATGCTCCTGCCTGACCCTGCCTCGTCTTTCCAGGGAAGAAGCAGCAGCGGAGGCGGCAGTGGGAGCAGCAGCAGCGTCCTGACCAATGCCCGCTCCTGGGGAGTGAGGATTCTGCATGTGGACGGTACCGTTTCTGCCCAGGGTTCCTGTGGAGGGGAGAGTTGGTGACTGACTGGGAACGTCCGCTTTTAGAGGGATCATAGTTGTGTAAGCTGGCTGGAAGCTAGGTGTCCTCAGTTATTGTGTGGATCCACGAGGTGGGAGGGTGTGGAGACCAGCAATGTCAGTGCTGGAAGGTGCTGTTCCGTTTAACCCACTCAGCGCTCCTCAAGCTGGGGTCATGATTGTGTTTTACAAATAAGGAAATAATCCTAATATCCACATATGACCATTTATCAGGTATTTACTCTGTGCCAGGAATTACCTCATTTAATCCTCACCACAGTCCTCTGCCTAGTATGCAGAGGAGGAAATGGAGCCTCAGAGGGATTAAGTAAATTATCCACAGCCTCACCAGGAGTGAGTATTGTGGCCCGCATTCCAGCCTACTTTGGCCCAACTAAAATTCACATTCTTTCTTTTCTATAGGGTTGCCTCACACTGTCACCACCTGTTTGCAGGTTGTAATAAATTTACACTAGAATAGCTGTCCTGAATCGGCTGGCAGTGACTGGCCCTCATACCCAGCCTCACTTTTGAGTCTGGGGCTTTCTCTGATCCCTGAAGGGGGCTGGTCCAGATCCAGCCTGAGATCTACCCGGGGTTAGAGAACTGTGTGGGAAGGTGCAGGTCTGGGGTGTGGGGCGGTTCCATCGTCACTGGAAAATCAGCCATTTCTGACTTGATCTAGTTTCCTGCCTTCCTGTGTGTAAGAGAAGCTCCAGCATGTGTAACCCCTGCTGGGTCTTCCCTCCTAAGGATACATCTGAGTAACTCAGATGGCGTGGTCCCCCCAACAGAAGCAGCTCTTCAGTGGTGCCTTAAAGCCCTTTGCAAGCCCTAAGGCACCTCATGGTCAAGAGTTGTATTCAAAAGAGCATGAAGCCAACCTAGGTCCTTGTCCAGGGATGGAGGACCCGCTCTTTTATTATCAGCAGGTGCAGAAGTGACACATAGCCAGAAGGTGGCAGGCCAGGCTGGTGTGATCCAGTGTGCCAGGCCTGGTGAGACTTTAAGTCCCTCAGCCCCAGGAAGGGGCTTTGCCGGGGAAGTGAGGAGCAAATGCCTTTAGCCACAGCCCTCTGTTTTCTCCACAGAAATGATGATGCACGTGCAACAACTCTCTCTAGATGCTTTATGTGTGAAGAAACAAGGGCCAAAGAAGCCAGAGGTAGGTCATCCTGCTGAACTGAAGGGAAATAAAAGGATGGCTTGCAAACTGTGAGGTCTGTGACTACTTAGTAAATCTGTGACCCACCCATGGCCATCCTGGAAAGAGTAAGAGGAGCACAGCCTCTTAGTTAGCTCACCCCTGGTGTCCACAGCCTGGCCCCTCCTCCCTGTTCTACCTGCAAATCTCCCGTTATGCACTGAGGCCTTCACTGCAGCCCGGGCTGTGGACTGCCTGTGGGTATTCCTGGCCTAGATAAGACCTAAATGCTCATGGCCTGCTGACCAAGCTGCCTTTCCGGGGACAACTCTTGGCCTGGGAATGAGCCTGCAGCTAGCATGGATGCGGGAGGGGTGTGCGGTTTGAAATAGCTGCCATAGTCCCAATTCTGGTTTGGCTTTTTCTTCCTTCGCTGGAGTCAGAACTGTGTGTACCCCATCAAGAGAGCCCAGGCTCATGTAAAGCCACAGTGCCTTCACCCAGCCTGAATCTGAGGAGGGACTAAGCCCTGCCGGCTCACGCAGGGCCTGGCACCCAGGTGCAGGAGCAGCAGCAGCAGCAGCAGCAGCAGCAGCAGAGCACATCCGTACCCGATGCAGCACTCGGCCTCGGTGCCCCTCGCTTCACCCCTTCAGGGCCGAGGGGGTCTTTTGCTGCTGCTGCTACTGCTAAATAGATTTGCATGGTCACAGCTAGAAAAGGTATACAGTAAAAGTTTCTCCCCTCTACCTTCTGTTCCGCAGCCACCGCACTCCCTCCCTAAGATAAATAGTGTGAGCAGTTCCTCAGGTCTCCTTCCAGGACACTGTGCATTTACAAGCAGATGTGTCAAAAATTTCCCCTTTTATGCAAAGGCACAGTATTTTTACTTTGCCTTGTTCACTTAATAATCCATTTTGTAGATACTTGGGAGGCTTTTGGAGTGAGTTCTGGTTGCAACCTGCTGATAGGAGAGGGGATGTGGAAGGCTTCTTTGGGTTGTCTTGCCCCGGAGGTGTGGCCTGGAGGAGGACTAGCAGTCCCATGGATTCACTGGATTGCTCATCCCGTCCCCAGCCTCCAAATCTGATTTCTTCATTTTTTACCATTTAGTTTTTAGTATTAACTTTGTTCGACCTTGGCCTGAATGTTGGTTTTGACCGACAGGCAGGGTACACCAGACATGGCACAGGAAAGCAAAAGGCATTGTCTTCACGCTTGTCCTGTAAGCTGACCTGGAATGGCAGCTGTGCCTAGATGGCCTGGTATTTACAAGCTACCATTTACCAAGCACCTGCTCTGCATCAGGTCTGTTACTTGCTTTTTAAATCTTTTTTTTAAAAGGTTATATTGGGGAGTTGGGGGAGGGGAACAGACAAGTTGCTGTCCTTTTGTTCTTCAGTCTAGTTGTGGAGGACGTCGCTTCACTGGCCCATGATGGTATTATCATTGCGCTCTTCCCGGGTGAGGCAACTGGTTGCCAGCCACTCATGGTAGCCCACGGCAGCCCAGCTCCAGGTCAAGCTGTTGTTCACCATCTTAGCTGTAGAGGGCAGTATCACTGGCCCTCATGTGGGATCCAAACCGCAGCCCTGCTGCTCAGAGCTGGCACTCCCAAGCCAACTCTTAACCAACTAAGCCACTCGGCCGGCCCCGTTACTTGCTTTTAATTTCACTTGCGTCACATCCAGTGCGGTGGTGAGTGCTCCTCACATCACATCACAGGCGGCACAGCTCCAGTTCCCACCCAGGCCCGTGGGGCGCCTCAGTTCTTGCTGTCGCTCAGCCCTGCATTCTCTCCACAAAGTCATCTTGAGATTCACACACAATGCTTACCACTCATGGTGTCCCTGGGGAGGCGGAGGGAGCCATTGTGTTCAGGTCTGCTCTCGCTCAGGGGGCCAGCCGACGGGAGGAAGCAAAGTGGGGCAGACTCACAGCAACTCAGCTCTCCAGCCTGGTTCCTCGACCCCCCTGGCTCCCTCACATCCCTAACCTATTTTCCCTTTCCATTTAGGGAACATGTCCAGCAGAGTCAAGAACGCGGAAAGGTCAGTATAGTAGCTGTTCCTCATCTAATTGCAATCCCTCCCTCCCTAAACGCTTCCCTGTGACTCCCTCTGTGGCAGCATCTGCTCGCTTTTCTGTGGCAGGAAGGGAGACCAGGTTGTGTTGCCCCATTGTGTGCCCAGGGCCTGGGCTTTGGAGAGGAGAGCAATGGGGGAGGGGCATCCATGAGCTGGTCTAGAGCTCCTGGGCTGGGGCTTCTCCTTAGACCCCACACGGTCACTCTGGCTCCTGCGTCCGCTGGTTGTTCCTGGCCATCAGTTGAAGTTCCGAATTCTTTTTCCTCTGACTCAGGAGCAGTTTGGGGTGGGCAGTTTGACAGCTGCCTACCACTTTCAGAAATGCCAAGCTCCCTGAAATTGACAAACAAGCAGATTGATGGGCCCAGCTCCCGGCTTTTCTTGGACAGCAGGCGAGTTTCTCCCCCTGGATGTTTCTCCCAAAGATGCTCTTTCAGTGGCATTTATTCATGCACAAACAGGAGCTAAGAAAAGTCACTTGGCACCTCTTGTGTTCGAAATTCAATGAAATCTGTGGGGGAATTGATTTTAATAACCGTCTCAGTTAATTAGAGAAGGAATTGCCCCCAAAAAAGTAATTAAAGGGAGCTGCTGCTCTTCAGGGAGAAACACTGCATTTTGTTTTTTTTTTTGGCTTGGGCCCTGGTGGCCACCTCGAGTGGGTCTGGAAGCTGTGAGGTGCCAGCCTCCATGGAGACTTGGTGGCTGTTTGTTCTGCCCAGGCTTCCGGCCCCTTTGACAGGACTTCAGGTCATCATGGGAAGGTAGACGTGGTTCTCGGGGCCTAAGAGCTTTTGTGCACTGTGCAAATAACTAGCTGGTAGAGGGTGAATCTCTTCATTAATTGACTCCAAGTTTGTCCTCCCAGAACCCCTTTGCCCTATTTTTTTTTTTTTTCAGAATCAGATTTCACCTTTGATTTTTTTTTTTTCCTGTCCTTCTGCTAAGATCTCTAAACACTCTTTAGCTCTCTTCCTCTCTGCTCTTCCTCCCCCCAAAAAACCCCCCAGGGTCCTCAAGGAGAATTCTGCCTGGGAGTGTTCGCAGGCCTCTCAGGATTCTGAGACCCCAGGAGCAGAGATCTGGGAAGGAGCTGAGGCTTTTAGCAGAAACGGACAGGGGCTGGGTTTTCTGCCCCCAGCGAGGCCTAATGGTTGGTTGACAGCCTACAGAACCCACACGCAGAAGGGTCCTCCATCCTGCTGAGCGAGGGCACGCCTGGGATCCCGAGCACCCTGCGCCTCTCCCCACAGCGGTGGGACCCTTTCTCCCAGGGTAGAGGCTAGATGAGATGGGAGTGGGAGCCTCCCCTCTGCCAAATGGAAAGGTGCACCTTGGGGCAGCGTGTGTTACAGCCCTGAGAGGCTCTCAGGCTTTGGCAGGGCCTCGCCTCTTTGAGCATTTCCTGTGTGTGCAGTGCAGGCTCTGCACTGGAGCAGACAGATGCTAATGTGTTCACTCTCCCTTTCCAGTGGCCAGACTGAAAGCACCGTTCCTCAAAATCGAAGATGAGAGCAGGTGAGTGGGGCCTCCTTCCTCTCCCCTCACCCCCGCCAGGCCCACATGGAGGAGAGGTCCCAAGCTGACATGCCTTCAGCCCTGCACCTTTGTCTTCCCAGAAGCTGGTTTCTCCCCTGTCGTGGAGAAGTCTCACACAGAGCAGGAGGAGCCTCTGAGGGCAGCATTGCACAGCTGGCCCTCCTCTTGGTCACGAGTCAGAGGTTAATGACCCTGTGTGTGAATTACTGCCTTCTAATGCTCTGCTTTTATGAACTTGTGGTGTCCCATCCAAGCTCATTATTTCTTTGAGTTTCCTGCTAGGTGTACGCTGACACTTACTCTCAAATCATGGCTGGGCCCAGGACAGTCATCTTGGCTGCTGTGAGGGTGTTTAGGGTAGTGTCGGAGTTCCCTTGCACCTGATGAAGCCTCTCGGTTTTGCTGTGCCAGAACCCTCTTCTGGTACATGGTATCTTGTGACAACGCTGGGTGGAAACTAGCATGAGGAGAGTCTATCCTCTTTCTAGTGGGGAAACTGAGGTCAGAGAAATTAGGGACTTGCATACAGCCACGTTACTAATGAATCTTAGCCGAGCCTAGAATCCAGTGTCCTGACTGTCCTGCCTGGTGTCCTCGCCACTCTGCCCTGTCCACCGTTAGGGCCCCTTCTTACCTAGAGCAGGAGGGTCACGTTGATGATAACCTGATGAGCTGTTAGCCACCTGGGTTATCACTGACTGTTTAATAAGTACTAAATCAAAAGTCCATGTGAATCTATAATTATCTCAAAACACATTTTTTAATAGAGAAAAAGCCCACATGTGCCCAGCAGAGATTCCTGGGGACAGAGTTTTCTGAGTCCCTCAGCCTCAGACAGAGCAGCTAAAGACCCAGCCCTGAGCGTGGCATGCCTGCCCATCTTCCAGAGTGGCCTGGGTGCCCTTCCTGGTCCCTGTACACAGTATAGAGTTGACTTTGGTGGCCCAAAATGAGTGGCAAGAACACGATAGCAAGAGGTGCTGCCTTCTCCAGTCCCCGTGGGATGGAGTACACGTCCGTTAATCCCCGCCCCTTCACAAGCACTTAAGTACAAGTAGTCACGACTCGAATATAGTGGTTGATACCGCCAGTGCCTCAGGATCCCTCATTGCACGTGGCAAGCACAGGTGATGTCACTGTCACTGGAGTGGGTACACGTGCTTGTGTGCCCCAGGCATCATAGGCAACAGGATATCCAAGCTGAGGTTCCTTGTGATTCTTTTTATGTGCTGTTCTGAAGCAGGTGCTCTTCAAAGTCTGACAGCCTTACCATCAACTTTCCAGCCTCCTAAGCAGAAAGCAAACCAACATTGAAGAGAAAGAAAGCGGGGACTAGGGCTGCGGAGAGCTCCCCGTTCTCCTTAAGGGTCTAAGAAGACTCTGTTAATTCACGCCTGAGGCCACAGGGCTGTCACCATGCCACCCAGGAGCACGGGCCACAGCGCCAAACCTGGAGTGCCCTCAGTTATATCAGGGGGGTTTGCTGAGTGTCCACACATCACCACATCTGGCTCCACAAGTCTCTTGAATGTGAGCAACTTGATGCAGACCACCAACAATACTCAGTATGGGTCTAACAGTCCAAAACCTTCTCTCTGCCTCTTTTCCATTCAGAATACCATCCCTCAGGTGGTGCAGAGAAGCAAAAGTGTTCCTCTTCATGGAGCAGGAAAATCACTGCTCTGGTTCAAACATTCCTTGCCTTTAGATTCTGCTAGAGTCCTCAAAGGTTGTTTTAGCGTCAGAAACAAAATGGAAAGGTGGGAAGTACTAGAGTGGCTTCCAGTGGCCACTTACTAGCTCTTGGGAGAGTCCCAGAACTTTTGGGGTGTTTCCTCCATTTGTTCCACTCAGCTCAGCGTTCGCTATAGGATTCAGATGAGGCTTGAAAAGTCGACGAGGAGAGCATAAGTATTCATTCAAAGTTAGCAAGGCTGGTGCACGTTTTGTTTTAGAACCTAAAAGATGTGCGGGTGAGCCCACTTTATCAGGATTGGAACTCGAGGGAGTTGGGCTGCCCCATCTTTTCCCTTCCCCGCTGTAGTCAAAGTGGAAGTTTTCTGTGTTTCAGGAAGTTTCGTCCTTTCCACCATCAGTTTAAATCCTTTCCTGAAATTTCTTTTCTGGGACCCAAAGATGCAAGTCCCTTTGAGGCCCCGACGACCCTGGGCGGCGCACATCGTACCAGGTGGGTCTTTCTGGTTCCTGAATAACAAGGGCTGGTTACAGGCCAAAGTCCTTCCATTCGGGGGCCTGCTGGTCGGATTTGGGAATGGCCATGTGTTAGCTCCTTAGGCGAAGTCTATTCTGGGAACTTCGCCCAGAGTAGAGAGACATGAGGAGTGTTCATCCGTTTTATTCAGCGTTCTCCGTTCCTACTGAAAAATTTGACTTGTGTCCAGAGGACAATAGGCTGGTTTCTGAAACAGACCTGTAGACCACCTTCATCAGAACCCCCTGGGGTCCCATTAAAAATGCAGGTTCCTGGACCCCACTTCACACCTACAGAATCAATCTCTGATGATGGAACCCCAAAAGCTGCATCCTCCCAAACTCCCCAGGTGATTTGATGCACATCAAAATTTGAGGGTTTGGGGCTAATGGTGAGGAATGACTAAGGTTATTAGTTATCTGGGGACCTCCTGCATCATGGGGCCCAAAGTGGCTTGGAGGCTTGTTGGTATTCCTACCTGTCAGATTTGTGAGAATGTGAACCTTCCCTGACCAAAGTACAGAAGAAACGCAGCTCGGGTGATGGCCTCAGTGCCTTCTCAACCCTCTGTAACTTCTGGGCCGCCGGGTTAGTTCATAAAGCAGGAGAATAGGGCAGACTCTCAGCCTAAGAGTTCCCAGGGCCAAGGAGGGTCTACAGGTTCCACTAGCAGACAGAGGTGGCAGGGTCAGGAAATAGAGCAAATGGGAGGAAAAACAGAAGGGAATGTGGCAGTAGATGGAGAGGAGAGGAAGGGGAGGATGGGCGGAGGTGAAGTCCAGGTGCCCTTCACCTTTCCCAACAGGCAAAAAAGGATACCAGAGAGCCAGCCAAGGGGTGGTGGGCTTGGGCCTGGTAGGTGGTGCTAGGCCTGGGGTGACTTCAGGATCGCAGAGGAGCCGAGAGGTTGTAAGGGGAAGATGAAGCAATGAAGCTTGGTGTCTACACGTGAGGCGCATGGGGATGTGTGGTAGGTGTGCATGCGTGTGTGTGTGTTAAGTGTGTGCACACGTGTGTGTGTGTGTGTAGAAAATCTGTGGGAGAGAATGTTTAATTTTTTTTTAATTTAAAAATTATTATTTTGGTTCAAAATTCAAGCATTACAAAGGGCTTAAAGTGGAAAGTCTGTACCCCACACCCACCCTCTCATCTCCAGCTTGTGGGTCTATCTCGGGAGATAGTTCACTTCTGCACGCAGAAGTACATTGTGTACCCTTTGTTCCTCTTCTTACATAAAGAGTAGCTTACCATGCGCTGTGCCGGAGCTTGCTTCTCCCTTACTACATCCTAGATTCGTTTCCTATTAGTACCTAAAAAGCACCCTCCTTCCTTTCTGTGGCTGCAGGGTATTCCACTGCATGGATTGACTTTATTTAACCAGTCTCTTACTGATGGACGCTTAGGTTATTTCCAGTTTTTTTGCTGTTATAAACAATGCTGCAATGAATAGTCATGTCCAGAGAAAATTTGATTGTTCGAGTACATTTGTGGAAAGAATTCCTAAAAGTGGAAATGCTGGGTCAGAGGGTGCCTGCACTTATCCTTTTGATAAACGTGGCCACGTTGTTTTTCAGGGAGGTGATGCCGGAGAACACTCTGACTTGCCTGTTTCCCCGCCCCCTTTGGCTAATGCTGTGAGCTGTCAGAATTGTTGACGCCCACCAGTCTGATAGATTACAAACCGTATTTCAGTGTGACTCTAATTTATATTCTCATTATGAGTGAGGTTAAGTATGTTTTCATATGTTGTTAGATCATTTGAATCTCTGTGTGTGCACCTTCTGCATACTGTTTACCCATTTCTCTCTTCAGTTATTGATCATTTCTTAGGGATTTGTCAGGAACCCTTCATGTAGTAGGGAAATGAGCCCTTTGCTGTGTTATTAGTTATAAATGTCACCACCCCCACCCCCAGTTTGTGGTTTGTCTTTGAACTTTGCTTATGTTTCCTATCATGCATGCATTTTTTTTAATTGCATGTCGTTGAAGGTATCAGCTTTTTGGGGTTTTGTGTCATCTTTAGAAAGTCCTTAAAGGGGAATGTTTTGGATTTGTTGAGTTTGCTGGGACAGCCAAATAGCAATTCCCTACAGGCCATTAGAAGGAATATAGAACTGAAATGCAGACGAGAAGTCAGGTTTGAGAAAGGGATGTGAAAGTCCTCAGTGAATATGGCAACTATTCAAGGGACAAGTAAGCATGAGGGAGGAGACAGACCGAACCAAGGGAAGGGGACATTGATGGCGGAGGAGGTCAAAGGCGGTATAGTCCCCATGCTGCTGTCAGGGACTTGACCCTTACATTTCTCAGGTCAAATGAATGTGGGCTTGGGTATGAGCACAGAGCTGGAATTGTCCTTTTAAGGATTCTTGCTGCCGCCACCCCCATCCTCACCTGTGGTTTGAGATGTGTGGGCAGGGAAAGGACAGAGCTAGGACAGGGCGCCCACGGGGAGGTCTCATCTTCCTCCTTGCCTCTCCTGCTACCTTTGGATGATTGGTGCCGAATGTAGCAGACCTGCCTGTGCCTGCCCAGCTCTGTCCATCCCCGCCCCCGGCCTGGGCCTCAGGCCATGGAGCAGCAGTTCCTGCTCTGAGGGCCCCAGTAGTGACCACTTTGCCCCACTTTGTGCCCTCCCCAGAGAACCCAAGGATCGGGAACCAAGTCCACAATCAGCTGCTCGCACCATGCCCAGGAGGAAGAAAGGGTACTGCGAGTGCTGCCAGGAGGCCTTTGAGGAGCTCCACGGGGTGAGCCCCTTTCTCGCTAAGCAGCTGCTCCCCGGGCTGTTCTGAGAGAGCCTTCTCCACCTAGTCCAGCGGTTCTCAACCTTTCACAGAGGTCTCCTAAGGCCATCGGAAAACACATATTTTCGATGGTCTTAGGAACCGAGACACCGCTCCTCTATCCGTCTCCAGGCCCACATGCAGATACGCCCACATACGAGTACCCGGTGACCCCTATGAAAGGGTTGTTCGACCCCCACAAGGGTTGCGACCCACAGGTTGAGAACCGCTGGCCTAGTCTCCAACCTGGTGTGGCGGGGAGGTCTGCTGGCATCCCACCCTGGCCTTGTCTAATGCCCTGTGCGTCCTCTCACCCCCGGGCAGCATCTCCAGAGTGCCCAGCACCAGGGCTTTGCACTAGAAGCCTACCCGTATGCAGAAGTCGATCGGATCATCGCCCAGCTCAGCCACAGCTTTGCGGACATCCCCTTCCAGGGCAGCCTCCCCAGGTGAGCACCGCAGTACAGCCCTGCTGGGGGTGACAAGCACAGCTGCGGTCACTCTTCGGTTACCGCCCTCTTCAGGTGGGAAGGAACCCTCGGGTTGGTGACAGCATGGACCAGGCTATGGCATTTTTCTCTTTCCTCACCTTTCCTTCCCACCATCTTCTGTTACGTTTAACTTAGAGAGAAGGGGGATGGGAAAGACCTCCGCTTGTGGCTTTAGCCAATGGGGACTGCGCCCAGACCAGAGCGTGGGTCCCCTCTAACACATGGGCATTGCCACATTAGGGGGGCTGAGGGAGCAGTTCAGCAGCTGCACTCCTGGCCTATCTCTGGTCATGTGCCTGTCTGGCCTTTCAGAAGTGGGGAGGGGGGATTCCTGGGTCCCTCCCAGGTGGGTGAAGAGCACGGTGTTTCTATCTCTCTAGAAATTATCCCAGGAAGGATTGCACGGGGTTCAGTGGAATTCCAGGGCTCACTGAGCTTCCCCTGCTGCCCGCCAAGGAGCTGTAGCTTTACCTCTCACCCCAAGTCTCCACCTCGGGGCTCACTCCCGGGGCTCAGCTTGGACAGCCAGGCTCTGCGCTACTTCCTGTCGCTGCCAAAGGGCACAGCCTCCTCTGTGAACTTACTCAGTGGAACAGCCTCTACCTGTCCCTCCGGCCAGCCCTGAACACAGGCCGCAGAGAGGTGCAAACAGTGCTAGCCACTACTGCAGGATCACACCCAAAGAGCAGGCCTTTCACAGGGCCCCAGAGTGGGCCTCTCTCTTCAGCACCCCAAAACCCAGAAGGGTAGCACCATGTGTGCCCCACCCCCACCTTGCCCTCAGCTCGCTGGGGAGGGTCCCGGCTTGCCGCCTGCTCTGGAGTTGAGCCCAGTGACACACAGTGTGTTTCTGTCCCCACAGGCAGCGAGGCTCCCTGGCTTCGGATTATGACCCTCTGTGTCCTGAGACGGTGCCTTGCAGCCAGCCCTCCCATGCCCGGGCAGCATCTTCCAGGATGAGGGAGAAAGACGACCACCAGGCCCCAGGCATCCCGGAACAGAATGGGATAGTGGGTGGCACGAAGGCACCAGCTGAACATGTGGGGACTGGCAAGACACCCGGACCAACAGCAAGCTGCCAAGAGCTGGGGGGGTCTGTTGGTACCATCGTGGACCCCCCAGAGACACTGGTGCCCAGTAGCCCTGCTGGCCAATGCCTCCTGAGCAACCCTGGTTTGGCGGACCTCTCCTCCGGCACAGACCTGGCACGCGTTGGCCACAAGAGGAAGGTTCAGTTCCCCAGTGGCAGTGCTGAGAAGAGGCCAGGGCTCTCCTGGCCACAGGCCTCATTCTTGGTCCCAAGAGGCCCCCGTCCCTGTGGCGCCAGGACAGCCAGTAGCAGACATCTTTCTTTTCCCCTTCCAGGCCGTGAGCCCAGGCCTCTGGCCTCCCTCCTGCCCTTATGCCACCCACAGCCCAGCCGCTCCCTCTCAGATCCCTCCCCCTGGCAGCCCACAGACAGACCATCAGAGCTCTGGGCCACACAGCCCCCCTGGCCGGGGAGAGGATGTTCCCCAGGACCTGAGGATTCTGAGTGTGCAGCCCCTGGCCCTGTCTCCCAGCAGGTTGACCAGCTTCCCGGCTGCCCCACAGGCCCAGGCCAGCTGTCATCCCACCTGCACTCAGCTGTGGGCACTCAACCCCCAGGAGGACCTGTGGACAGCCAGGCTACCTCTCTCCCCCACCCTCTGCCAGCCAGCAGGGGAGCCAGCCTCTCCCAGTCCCTCGCCTCCCTGTCTCCCAGCCCCAGCCCAGCGGCAACAGAGAACTCCTGTGAGCCCTCGAGGGCACAAGGCTCTTTGTGGGGCCACACAGCTACTGACTCGAGGGCCAGGTACACAGATAGACGTTATACCTCTGCGAAGTGCTGCTCACCCAGTCAGGGCAGAACAATACGCGGAGGAGCAGTGCCCCAGGGCCTCCCTGATGGAGCCAGAAGGAGCCCCGGGGCCTGGCCTTTGAAGTCCAAGTGAACAGCAGTTGTCACGACCAAGCTCTGTGGGTCGAGAGAGCCAGTCCCCCACCCACCCATTCCCCAAGTAGGACCAAGAGAGTGTGGGCTTGGGGGCTGCCCTCCTCTACCCCTACCTCCAGCCATGTTCCTGACTGGGCAGTGATCTGTGATGGGCTTGTCCAGCCATGGCTAGCTGCCTACTTGCCAGGAGGCAGAGGCAAGGTTGGCATAGGGAGGGATGAACCCTGGCCCGGCCTCCACTCTGCAGGCACTTGCCTGTTTGCAGAGCCCAGGGTTAGCGGTGTTCCCCACACCAGCCTCCTTTCCCACAAGCATGTGGTTCTGCTTTCCGAAACGCCTGTGTTTGTGTCCCCTCCCCCAGCCCCCCACGCTGTGCGCTCATCCGCAGGAACATATGAAGCAGAGGAGGGGCTCGGCTGTGGCACTTGCAGAGCTCCCCCCCTTCCCCACCATGACTGGGGGCCCAGCACTGACCTTTCCCCTGAGCGAGCCCCCTCAGGACAGACCCCTGTCTGCTTTTCTCTGCCTCAGCCCAGGGTTCTGTCCCAGGGTCAGTGGCTCACCTGCCAACTTCTCCATCACCCTCTTTCCCCCCTCCCTAAGGACCTCCCCCCATTTCTTTCAGCCAAGCCATTAATCTGAAGACAGAGATGGGTTTGCTATTGATTCTTTGGCCACTTTTTTATTACATTTTGTACTGTGGTTCTATTCACCCTTCTGTGCCTCTGTGTGTTTGTCTCTTTAAATGTTGAAGCTACCAGAAGCCTGGTGCTATTCTGTAACTCCTTTTGGAGGAAGAAGGGGGGGCCTAGCTGTGGGTGAGGACCTGAGTTGTTAGTTTGGAAATAGAGCAACTGTGTGTACAACCCTGCGAGAGGTCATGTTTGGCCTTTTTATGCCATTTCTGTTAAACTTCACAATTAATCTTGGTTCAGGAGCTGTAAATAAAGTTGTTAATAACAAATAGCAAAGAAATGGGGCTGGAGTACAGTGTGTCAGGCCTTCATCTGCCCTCTAGTGACCCGAGGCAGGGCTGAGGGTCCAGCTGACATGGACAGAATAGCTGGTTAGCCGGATGGCAGCCTCCAGCAAGTGGGAGAGCATGTGAGTGCCACCACCCTCCCGAGGCCTGGCCCTGTGGGCTGAGGGCAGGTGGGGCTGCGTCTGTCCAGTTTTAGGTCACTCACTTGGTCCTGCTGTCCACGGAGTGGCTGCCTCAGAGGGCAAGCTCGCCACCCACTCCCAAGAAAACTCCTTTGCTCTGACTAAGTCCCTATTAAGGGCCCTGTCCCCTTCCCCGGGACCCAGACAATGGCTTCCTTCTGGGCCCTGGTGTGACACATGGGGATGCCTCATCCCCCGGTGCCGTTCCCATAATGCTGCCCCTCTGGATGAGAAGCTCCTCCCACCCCTTTCTCAGACTTTCTGATACCCTCACGTGCTGCTCACTCAGGCTGACACCCCAGGTTCTGACACCCTCATCACCATCTGCCTAGGACCTCACATCCGACTATGTGGCCCTCCCCTCCCATCTCAACGATTGTGACCTTGGATATCACATCTCAGCTAGGTCACCACAGCCATGTCTGTGTTCCGGCCTCCAGGATATATTTATAAATTTAGAGGAGGCCCAGAACAGAAGGATGCTGTTTGACATTGGGCCCCTTGGCATGGGGACGGATAAAACCTACCCCCTCCCTCTCAGCAGATGACCTTCACTCAGACTCAGCAGGCACTGCCTCATCTTGCTCTCAGTCCCCCTTCAACATCTGACTTGAAGCATTGTCCTTCCTCCCCAAGTCACGTCGTCCCTGTGCTCTCTCCAGCCTGCCCCGGCCAGCCTTGTCAACTGCCTCATCTCAGATTCGCCACCTCTCTCCCCTCTGCCTGAAAACTCCAGCCTAGAAACCACTTGCATTGATCCAGCAGCTTGAGGAATGCGCCCTCCTGTTCTCTAGCTACTTCCTGGGGCCCACAGCCATGGCCTCCATGTCTGCACCTCCTTCCCCCTCAAAACCTCCACCCTGGAGGCGCTCCGCTGGGATTCTGTCCCAAGGTCACCTGCTAATTACCAAAGACAGCCTCCTTCCCTCCTGTCCCACCTTGAAACCTGGCTCCCCCATTCCCAGTGACTCCAGCTCAGTCTGGTTCCCCTCTCCCCAGCCTCCGCCCTCTACTCATTCAGCACAGGACTGAGGTGTCTGCCCCTGAGTCGTTCCCAGAGCCCTAACCAGCCCTCCGGACTGCCTGGGACGCTTGTTCTCACCGTGCGCACAGGTTCTTTCACTTCTTTGCAGTTGTGATCTGAATTGGTAGCTCCACTTCTGACTCTCTTCCGAATTCTAATCTTCACCTGTGCTAGGTGGGAAGGCAGGAGATGTAGCCACCACCCCAACTCATGTGACTTGGAGCAAGTTCCTTCACTACCCTGAGCCTTGGTTTTCTTATCTAAGTGAGGGGCTTGGATGAGATGATTTCAAGGGCCCTTCCTTCCAATAATAAAATACCATGACCTCCAACGAATCCCTTGTACCCCTCCAGTCCTGCTGCCATCACAGACTGACTCACCTAGGAGCTCATTCCTGGACCAAGGTTGGCTCCTTCTTCCTGTCATGTCTTTCCCAGCATTCCCTACCTCCTGCCCCCTCAGCCACTCCAACCAGCCCCAGGTCCTCCCATTCATTCTCCCTGCCTCCTCGTTCCATCTGCCACCTCCTTCCCCTGAACCCCATCCAGCCACACTGATCCACTTGTCTCTGACCACCGCAGGCAATCCAGTCCCCGCATCTTTGCTTTTGGTCCCTGACCTTGAATGCCCCTCGAGGAGAGCAAGAATGCCCCACTCTTCAAGTTTATATTCCATATTCTCTATGAACCCTGTAATGTAAGCCTTCAGGCGACAGATGCCTGAGTTCAAATCCAGATTCCGCCACTTTGTGTGACCTTTGGCAAACTCCTGAAACTCAGTTTTCTTCATCTGAAAAATGGAGGTACTAATAGGCGCCACCTCATGAGGAAATCACAGAAATTAAACCAGATATGTTTGTGAGATACTGGGCACAGAGCTTGGCATATTGTAAACAATAAACTAACATATTACCACTACCACCTCACCTCCCAACCCCCCCCCCACACACACACACACACCTGTGATGCCATTTCAATAGAGCTCATTTCCACTAATCTTCCACCTGCCGACAGCTCTCGGACAGCTCAGCATCCCGTTTCCAGAGTAAATTGGTGAATAAAGCTGCTAAGGGGCTCTGTGAGTCACCCAGTCTCTGGGCCCCCTATTATCTGATGGCCAGTTCCCAGGACTCCAGGAGGATCCCTTGTGTGGGGGACAAGTGGCAGTGGGGTGGGTGCTGTACCGCCCCCAATAGCATGTCAGGCCCTTGGGGGCATGACTACATTTGTGCACTCTAAACCTCTCAAAGGCTAGGTGTCCCGGCATTCCGGCACCCCAGGTGCCTCCAACCCCTCCCTGAAGGAAGGCATCAGAGCTTCAGGGCTTATAGAAGCGGCCACTTAGACAACAGAGAGGGAGGAGCAGAAGGCTCCTCTCAGAGGAATATTCAGGTGACAAGATCAGTTCTCTCCTGGTGAAAAGGACGGGCACGGGGCTGGGATCCAGGCGGAAGCAGAATGAACTCCTGTCCCAGTGCTGTGGGCTTTTCTGCTGCTCCCCACCCTTCAACATTATGTCAACAGTCTCTCCATGTGCTGGGTAGAGAGGGCCCCAAGGCCCAGCCATAAAGGAACCCCTTGGATCCTGGACAAGGGCCAGAAGGCTGACTTTCTCCCCAGCACCTTAAGAAGGTCAACATGAGGGCCGGCCGAGTGGCTCAGTTAGTTAAGAGCTCGCTCAAGAGTGTGAGCTCTGAGCAACAGGGTCACTGGTTTGATTCCCGGCCCGAGCTGAGCTGCCAACAGGTGGTAGGATGGCTCAGTTAAAAAAACAAAACAAGAAAAGGTCAACATGAATGGTGCAAGCCCAGGATGAGTGAGACCCTTCTATGCACCAGGCACTGCTCTGGGACCCCAGCTGGTTGCCTGGAGCCCTGAGTCCTACTCTTACCCACCATGCCACCCTGCCCCCTTGCCTGGCCTCACAGACTGGGCACAGGGCCTGGACACCTTCCCTTGGAAAGAATCACTGCCCATCACTCTGCCCCAGAACTGGGGCAGCCGACACCCCTCCCTTACCTACAGCTGCTGGGACTTGGTCTTGGCCTCACATCAGCCCACCTTGGCCCTTGGGCGGGAACGTTGAAGGGAAGAATTGGCAGAAAGGTGGGAAGACCTGCAGGGGAAGGAGGCTGCAGACCTCCTGGTGGTGGGGGCTCCTGAAGGATGGCTGGAGACCAGAGCCCGAGAGCTCCTTTAGTACGGGTGGCCCTGAGGGTGGCATCAAGACAGCAGGGACCATGGCCACTGATTTACAGAGTCCCCAGGGACCTCTGTGGGAGAAACAAGCAATGCGCAGAAGGGGCCAAAGGAGCCCGCCAACTCCATCTCAGTGTGGTTGGGGTGGGCTTCCCGAGGGAACTCTGGTTTGGGGAGGGGATGTTGGTTGCTACAGCCCCTGACCTCAGGAGAGAAGGTGGGTGAGGGAATTGAAGCTGGCTTCCTGCTTGGCAGAAATGTGCAGCTTGTAGCAGAACTGATGTGGAAGACAAGACGGGGGAGATGAGGCCTTGGGCTCAGGAGTGGGGTGTGGTCAAGGAAGGGTCAAGGTGCCCAACTGAGTCTGCTGAGAGCTGGGGAACCCAGGAAGATAAGGAACTGTTGGGGGCCAGGCTGGCCCAGAATGCCACCAAAGAGAAGTCACTCTGGGGTCTAGAAAGGTCTCCACAATAGGAAACCCAAGAGGCCAGGACCACAGAAGGTAGGAATGTGCCTCAGCCTTAGAGGCCCAGGCCACAGATTAGGTTTGCTGTGTGGTCTTGGGCACTTTGCGGGGTGGGTAGAGGATTTAGGCTCCCCCAGGCCCGGGGCTTTCCATTGTGAAATGACAAACCCCGCCTATCCTTTTGGGAGGTATATCGGATCAGGGTTCACTGGTGTGGGCCTGGAACATGGCACGGATGGGGCAGGACAGGCACACCCTGATGGTGTGTGTGTGGGATGAGGAGGCATGGGATCGATGGACCAGATGGACCAGTCCCCTCTAAGTCCCAGATAGAAGGCAGAGATGGGGATAAGGAAGGCAAGAGAAGAGTGGGACCCTGGAATATGGGCTGCACCTCTCACTGACCAGCTGCGTGACTTTGGGAAGCTTGCGTAGCCTCTCAGAGCCTCAGTTTCCCCATCTGTAAAATGAGGAGCACAATTGCTCCCTCCTGGGTTAATTGTGAGTTTCCAGGTAATATTGCATAGTAGGCCTTCAGCCCTCTCACCCCCTCACCCCTACACCCTGGAAGAGGTTTCCAAGATGTCTCCAGAGCGAAGGACCAATTGGCTCAGCCTTGCTGAGCATCTGGGTCTGGAGTGGCAGGTGGTTGGAGGGGCAGAGTCACCTGTTTTCAGCATTGATGTCAGCGCCTCCCAGGAAATCGCCTTCTCACCTCTCCTGGGCCTAAAATAGAGCTGGGGGGGTGGGGGGGGCTGCCATGACCCAGAGGCGGCTCCCCCATCCTTGGAGGCCCTGGGTCCCCAGGGAAGCAGAGGACCCAGGAAGGGGTTCCCTGTCTCCACTCCTGTTCCTCAGTGACCTGCGGTCTCCAAGGGTGGATTCAAGGCGGTTCTGGCTTTGAGCACAAGGTCAGGGTGGGGCCTCACCAGCAGTGCCCACACCCTGCCACCCCCCACCCCATCTCAGGTCACTGGCTCCTGGGATCCCTAGCAGAGGTCAGAAATCCCTGCCCCAGTCTAGGGACCCATGTTGCCCAGGAGCCTAGGAGCTGGGCTGGAGGGGCCCAGCTCCAGGCTATGTTGGGAGGTCAGGTGGTTTGGAGACAGTGCAACCTGTAGTCTGGCCTGAGAGGGAAGCTGGGGGGCTCCACAGGTATCTCCTGCTCCTCAAAGTTTTGGGCTGACAAGGGAGGGGCTGAAATGGGGCATGCTAATAGCATGTAAATGACCTGGCTAGTTTACATGATGTTTAGGGAGGATTGTGGTGCCCAGTGTAAAGGACTCAGGAGGTCAGAGATCCCTCCCGGTGGCTCAGTTGACAGCAAATCCTGAAGCCCTCCTGGAGTCAGGGGCATCTTAGGCCTGGAAAAGGAGCCTGCAGGATAGAAAGGGATCTGGACCAAAGGTGTGGGAGGACTCCACAGCGATCTGCTCCGGGCGGTGGGCGAGAGATCCCAGATGCGCCCAGAGGGCCGTTAGCCAAACGAACCTCTGCCCCTCCGTCCCGTTCCTGGCCTCCAGTCTTCCCAGCTCCGAAAGCCTTCGGTCGACCAGAGCTGGGTCTGGGGAAGCCCCCTCCTGGGTATAACGCCCCAGAGGCGAACCTGGGTCAGGCAGCCACGCCCCCACACCTCGATCGCACGGGTCCCCAGAAGGGCAGTTACCAGGTCAGAGCCCGGGGGTCCCTGTGTATCCTCCCTCACTCCCGCTACAAATCTGCCGGTCCTCGGAGATCTACAGGCAAGGGGTGGCCAAGGAGGGGGTCGCAAGATGGGGACCCAGTGCGTCCCGCCCTGCACCTGCCGAGGGAGACGGAGGTAGTGCGGGAAGGCCGGCCCTGGGGCGGCGCCTCTTTTGTCCTCCCGTCTCGGCGGCCCGGGCCCTGCCCGGTTGGGGGGGCCCCGGGGGCGGGGGCGGGCCCTCAGCTCACGTGCTCGCCGCTCCGCTCTTAACCCGGCCCGCCGCCCCGCCGGGATGGCCGCGGCCGGAGCGCGCTGAGCCGGGCGTCCTCCCAGCC